CCATTTCAGGAAGCATGCCCTGGGTAGCTGGTCTCCAAGGGATTAGTCCATCTCAGGTACAAGAATTTGTGTTTGTCCTTGGTTAATTCCATGAAAGAGGGTGCAGAAGTTTATAGGTGCATTTTCGGAATGACCATGCTATGTAGGTCAGGTTTTTATTGCAGTGGTTTAGGAACTTTTGGAGTTCTTCCTAAGTCATACTTGATTTTAAAGTGTTATTATAAATTGCGACAGAATATACGAATAATCCTAAATGTATTTTCAGATCTTGGTATACTTTGTTAGTAAAATAGACGAACAGAAAACTATGTGATTTTGTGTGTGCGTAGTTTATGTGTTACTGCTTCATAGAATCACAAAATCACAGGATGACAGAGTGGTTTGGGTTGGAAGGGATCTCAAAGGTTTTCTGCTTCCAGACCCCTGTTGTGGGCAGGGACATTCTCTACTAGGCCAGGTTTCTCAAAGCCCCATCCAAACTGGCCTTGGAAATTTCAGGAATGGGGCATCCATTGCTTCTCTGGGTAGCCTGTGTCAATCCTTCACCACCCTCACAGTGAATTTCTTTCTTACATCTAATCTAAGCCTGCCCTCTTTCAGTCTAAAGCCTCTACCCCCCTGTTCTATCACTACATGCTCTTGTAAAAAGTCCCTCTCCCGCTTTCTTTTAGGCCCTTTTCAGGTACTGGAAGTCTGCTAGAAGGTCACAGAACCACGAAATGGATTTTGTTGGAAGGGACCAACCACAGTGAATCCTGTGTTCCAAGCTCCCTGCTCAAGCAGAAATGTCCTGGAGCACATGGTGCAGGATTGTGTCCAGGCGGTTCTTAAATTATCTCCAGCGAGGGAGACTCCACAACCTCTCTGGGCAATCTGTTCCAGTGCTCAGTTACCCACAGAGAACAGAAGTTCTTCCTCATGTTCAGGTGGAATTTTCTGTGCATCAGTTTCTGCCCATTGCCTCTTGTCCTACTGCTTGGCACCTCTGAGAAGAGCCTGGTCCATTGTCTTGATACCTCCCTTCAGATACTGATAGACATTGATGAGGTCCCATCTCACTTGTCTCTTCTCGAGGCTGAACAGGCCCAGCTCCCTCAGCCTGTACATCACTCGGAGGCAACAGCCACTCTGCCCAGCTTTGTATCATCAGTGAATTTGCTGAGAAGGCATCTGCCCCTTCATCCAAGCCGTGGATGAATAAGTTAAACAATACAGCATTAAACCTAGAGGCACACCACTAGGGACAGGCCTCCAACTACACCCTGTGGCTCTGATTTTAACCCCTGGGATCTGTACAGCCTGTTCTTGATCCATCTCACTGTCCACTCATCCAGCCTACATTCCTGAGTTTGTCTAAGGAAATCCACTATCAAAGTAGACAATATCCACTGCTCTCCCCTCATCCATCCAAGCAGTGGTTTCATTAAAGGTGGCAATCAGGTTGGTCAAGGAGGTTTTAACTGAGTGAATCTGTGCTGACCATTCCTGATCATCCATGTGGATAGCCTTCTGAATGAGGTGCTCCCAATCACCTTTCCAGGGATCAAGGTGAGGGTGACTGGCTGGTAATTCCCAGGGTCCTCGTTCTTTCCCTTGTTGAACACTAGGTTGTCATTTGCTTTCTTCCATTGTGAGCAGCCTCGCAGCCATGTCTGCAGCACTTGTAGATGAATCCCATCAGGATGTATGGACTTGTGGATGTCAAGTTTACCTACATGGTCTCTACCCCTATCTTCTTTGACCAAGGGAAAGTCTTCACTCCAGAATTGCTTTACCCTGGTTTCCTAGGTCAGAGAACCCTGAGGGCTGGTCTTGTCAGTGAAGACTGAAGCAAAGACATTCAGTGAAATGTCTTCTTCTGTCTTCTATTCATTCTCTGTTACCAGGGTCCCTCCCTCCCTCCATTCAGCAACAGGACCACATCATTCTTATTTTTCCTTGTTATTGATATAAATCTGAAGACATCTGAAGATGTCTGTGACATCCTTGGCCAGATTCAATTCTAGGTGGGCCTTGGCTTTCCTTGTGTCATTTCTACTTAGTTTAACAGCCTCACTGTATTAATTACAAATGGCCAAATCATGCTTCCATCTCCTCTGTATTTCCTGCTTACTCTTGATTAATGACAGGAGTTCCTTGTTTATCCATGCAGGTCTCTAGCCCCATTTGCCCAATTTCTTGCTCATCAGGATACATCATTCTTGAGCCTGGAGGAAGACCAACTGTCTTTGACCCCTATTTCCTGCAAAGCATGTTCCCACAGGATTCTTCCAATAAGATTCCAAAAGTCTATGGTTACTATCTTACTTGCTACCCTGCTTCATCCTCACCTGATACTGCACTTCACAATCTCATCGTCTCTGCAGCCAAGACTGCCCCCAGTCTTCACACCTGCAACAAGGCCTTCTCTACTTGTTAGTATGAGGTTGAGCGGCGCAGAATTCCTTGGGGGATGCCCCACTATCTGTGACAGGTGCTTGTCATCAATGCTCTCCAGGAATCTCCTGTACTGTTTTGGGCTTTGCTGTGATGCTTCTCTAGCAGTTGTCACGGTAGTTAAAGTATCCCATGAGAACCAGTACCTGTGGCTTTGAGGCTACTTCCAGCTGTGTGTAGAAGGCCTCACTTGCTTCCCCCTCTGGATCAGGTAGCCAGTAAGAAGCATTCCAGAGTCTTCTCCTTCTCCAGGCTGAAGAACTCCAGTTCACTTAGCCTGTACTCACAGTGAATGTGCTCCAGCCCTCCTCTGGACTCAGTTCAGCACATCCACATACTTCTGGTGCTGGGGGCACCAGAGATGGATGCAGCACTGCAGATGGGGTTTCACAAGAACAGAGCAGATAGATATCACTTCCCTCTTCTCCTGGCCACACTGCTTTGGATGCAATTCAGGATACAATTGGCTTTCTGGGCTTCAAGTTCCAGGTCTTGTATCATCAACAGCCCCAGTTCATTCTTCTCAGGACTTCTCTCAATCCACTCTCCACACAGACTATACTTGTACTTGGGATTGCCCTGACCCATGTACAAGACCTTTACACTTGGCCTTGTTGAGCTTGATGAGGTTTGCACAGCCCCTCCTCTCAAGCTTCATGTTCCCTCTGGATGTCATCCTTCCCTCCAGTTTTTTGACTGGACACAGCCCAGTGGCATCACCAGACTTGCTGAGGATGTGCTCAATCCCACTGTCCATGTCCCTGACAAAGGTGTTAGACAACAGTGGTCCCAAAACCAACATCTGAGGAACACCACCAGCACTGGTCTCCACTTGGACGTGAGTTTTGACTGCATCTCTTTGACTGCAACCATCCAGCCAATTCCTAATCCACTGAGTGGTCCATCTGTCAAATCCATATCTTTCCAGTCTAGAGACAAGAACCATGTCAGATGTTTTTCACAAGTCCAAGTACATGAAATCAGTTGTTCTTTCCTCATCTACAACAGTGTAATCCCATCATAGAAGACAATATTCTTCAGGCCCTTTGTGAAGCCATGTTGGCTGTCATCAGTCACCTCCTTATTTTCCAAGTGCCTTAGCATAGTTTCCAGAAAGATCTCCATTGTCTTGGTGGACACAGAGATGAGAAAGATTGGCTTGTAGTCGTAATCTTTTTCCCATTTTTTTTTTTTTAATGGAGATTACAATTCCCTTGTTCCAGTCAATGGGAACTTCACCAGACTGCCACAGCTTCTCAAATGTGGTGGATAGTGGCCTGTTTACTCAGAATGTATCTCATCAGGTCCCATGGACTTCTGCACCATTAGGTTCCATGGACATGTGCACCTTCAGTTCCTGAGGATGGTTGCAGACCTGATTTTGTCCTACAGTGTGTGGTTTCTCTCTCAGCCTTTCCTCAGAAGAAAAATACTGCAGTCCTCTAACCATAACCCTGCAGTCTACAACTTCCTCACAAGCTGAAATGGGTTGATCTCTTTGCTGAGCAGTAATATGACATAGGAAGCCGGCATGAAGCTCTATTTCCTGGATATCAGGAAAAGGTTCTTCACTCTGAGGGTGGCTGAGCACTGAAACAAGCTCCCCAGAGAAGTGGTCACAGCAGTAAGCCTGACAGAGTTCAGGAAGTGTTTGAACAATGCTCTCAGTCATATGGAGTGATTTTGGGGATTATCCTGTGCAGAGTCAGGAGCTGGACTCTACTTGTGAGTTCCATCCAATTCAGGATGTCCTGTGATCCTATTATGATCTTCGTAGTCCTTCACTGGACCCTCTCCAGTAGTTCTATGTCTTTCTTAGCCTTCTGCAATGTGAGCATTGTAGCTGTAACACTTCCCAGTGAAAACCAAGGCAAAAAAGTCATAGCGTACCTCAGCTTTCTGCATGTCCTGCGTAACCACATCTCCTGTTTCCTTGCAGAGAGGGAACACATTTTCCCATCTTGCTTTTATCACCAACATGACTGTAGAAGCTTCTCTCGTTGTCCTTGATGTCTCTGGAGAGGTTTAATTCCATCAGGGCTTTAGCTTTCCTAGCCTTATCCCTGGCTTCTCAGACATCCTCTCTGTATTCCTCCCAGGCTACCTGTCCTTGCTTCTGCCCTTTGGTTTATGTCCACAAGCTCCTTGTTCATCCATGCAGGCCTGGCATTTCTACCTGACTTCCTTGTTGTTGGGATATGTAGTCCTTGAGCTTGGAGGAAGTGATCTTTGAATATTAGTGAGTTTTCTTGGGCTTTTCTCCCAGCCAGGGCTTTATGTCATGGCTACTTCGCCAAACAGATTCCCTGAAGAGTCTGAAGGCTACCCTCCTGAAAGTTCTGGGTTTGTGCTTTTTCTTAGTGCCTTCATGGTTGGAGTGATGCCCAGAATGCTGCGTTTCTAGCCAAATAAAAGTGGCCTGGTAGGAAAATGTTACCCATGTGCATGTAATCTCTTACAAGCAACATTTTTACCATTCCAGCCACCAATACTAATCATGAATATTGTTTTGATATTTTTGTCTCTGTACCTTTCTTATGTTTTACATCAATTTTTTTCTATAGGTATTGCCAGGCATCTGAAGTGGTTGACTAAGACCTAAGGATTTGGAACAGTGGTGAGTCAATGAAATTCTGATCATATTTTCTGTGTTTTCACATGCTGAAGTTTTACTACTGCAAAGGAAGGATGAAAGATGTTCAGTGGTTTATACCTTTTGAATGTTTTCTTCTGAGCACTAAGTTCCTGTTCAGAGCATTCAGAGAACATTTTTAAGCAGAAATTTTAGGAAGGAGAAGAGGAGGTAGTCTCATTGGCTGCTCTTGATAAGTGAAGCCTCTCCTCATACCACCCTGACTTTGAAAAAACTTTAAAGTAACAGTTCAACCTGTACTTTTTGAAGTGTAACTTGACCCATTGTATTAATATAATGATGCCTGAATTGGCTTTTCAGAATAATGCAGTTTTATACATTTAGCAATTATAAAATGAGATATCATTCTAGAATACATCATTATAGAATATCACTCTAGAAACCTGAAGTAAGTTAATAAATTACTTATTGAATTCAGCTTACAAGCTGAATTTTTTTTCTTTAAACTGCAGTCGTTCTTTGTAGTTTTTAACTCCGCCTCTGCAAACTGTGGTATCCTTTGTAAAGTTAAATTATTTTCCTGATCCCCTATGCTTACTGCTGATTCTTTGCATTGTGTGTGCCAAATATGTATAATTTTGACTAGAGAAGAGTGCAAGAAGGATCTAAGGAAGAACTTCAAAGATTTCAAATACTTTATAAAGTGAGTTTTGTAATCTTTTTATAAATATATTATTTACACTTCCCTGTAGGTGTAGGCTGTCAAAAGAGAGCCTTATAAACACACAGATAAAATCAGTGTTACTTGTATTTAATAATCATAAAACAGAAGAGAATAATAGAATCATTAAGATTGGAAAAGACCTCCAGGATGATTGAGTCCCACCCTTGACCAAACACCACCAGATCAGCTAAGGACATGAAGTGCCACATGCAGTTGTTTTTTGAACACTTCCAGGGATGGTGACTACCACATTCCTGTGGAACCTGTTCCAGTGCTAAAGTAACTTTTAAGTCAAAAAATCCTTCCTGATGTCCAACCTGACCCTTCCCTTAGTGCAGAGGAAGCCACTTCCTCTTGTGCTGTCACTGGCATCCTGGGAAAAGAGGCCAGTGGAGGAAGAGTAAAATAATACTTCCAAAAGGTAACTGCATTTTCATACCAAGAAATAGTTATTTGGAATAATTTAATGTCTGTAGTTCTCTGTTTTCCATGCCAGAGCAAAATTACGTGAAATATTTCATATTTAAGTTTCATTTCAGTGCTGTTGGCAGCAAGTGTTTAGAACCCATGTATTTTGTTCCATGTGTTATTGACTTTGATGACCAACGCAGTGAGAAGCCTTTGCCTTGCTTTTCTTTTTTTCTTCTTTTTTTTTTTTTTTTCTTCTGTAATGGCCTCTGAGAAGTATGTTTGATCTTCATTTCAAAAATTAGCATTTAGTTACAATTTTGAAGGCATCGATCAGTTTAGAATATTTACATTCATGTAGGTCTATATTTACTATGTCCTCTCTATTTCTGCTAGTGTTTAACTAGAAAAATTAGATAAGTGAATTTAAAGTTTTTCAGTCAGTTCTGGATAATTCTTTTTTGCCTACATTTTAATCTGCCCTTTGCTCCCATCCTCCACTGCCTGACAATTACCAGAACTAAACTGTTGTATCCATGTTATCATCAGTGCACAGACGGAATGAAAGCATTATAGACAGTTCGTATTTCTATATTCAACAAAAAATACAGGTATTCTTTTTGTCAAGTTTGATGCTGTTTAAGAAAATGATAATTAAGAATTGAAGAGACTCCTATTAAAATAGAATTTCTTTTTGGGTAGTGTTGCAGATAATATAACTTACTTTATAATAATGTGCCTCAGACCAGCTAAGGGGGGATTCCTATGGCACTTAACAACAGAACAGAAACACTAGCATGGGCATTAATAACCAAACTTAAAAAACAACTTGAGCGACTGTTAGCAGCAGCAGGTGGGAAACCAGTATATGGGGTTAAGTGTAGTGGTGGTGATAAAATTGCACAACTGATAAGATTAACTCTGTGAGGATCTAATATGTTTAGAAGAAAATTGAAATTTTAACTTTTCCTTCATAACAAAATATGTAAATAATGTCATGTCTCTCTAGAACACAGCAAAGTCAGGTTGTCTGCATTTTATTCAAAGGCATTGCTTAATTTGTCTTGGGGAAACATTTGAAAATAGTTAAGCACTTATTTGCATAAAAATCTTCAGTTGTAGCAAAATAGTTAATAAAATTGTAACTGGAAGCAATAAATAAACAACTAAGATAAAACTCTAAAGGATCAAATTAGCTTATGCTAATCTCTTAATAAAATCTTCAGTATTTTGCTTACTCTTTTGGGCATTCACATAGTTCCTCACTTGTGTGTGCTCCTTTTGTTGCAATGTAAGTAGGATAGAAGCTTATAATGCCTTTTCTAATAAACATGATGGTTAGACTCTGAAATTGTATTAGGCAAGAAAGCACCAGTTATTTTTGTTTTCCATGTAATATTAGCCAAGAAGTGATTGCTTAGTGCAGTGGTGCTAAGATCCTTCCAGGACCTCACATCATGGTAATACACACTCCAGTGAGATAACTCAGCAAAAGTAGATGCTGTGCTAGATGCTGGTCCTGGGCATCTCTGAAAAACAGCGGGTGTTAATGTATTTGGGGATTGTTAGCCTCAAAACTCTGATGGGTGATAGTGAGATCATTGAAGATGTGGGGGTTTGATCCTCTCTTAATAGCTGAAGTTTCACCAGCCCCTTGCTGGTATTTTTGAAAGAGGTTGATACAAAGGTGCAGGTCTTGGACCATGGGCTTCTGTCATCACAGCTACTCTGGAACCTGCCAGCTAATGTGACATATATTCTTCTCTGTTACATTAAAATACATGTTTTTACTAGCTAGTCCTGTTCCCCTTCAGGTAATACACTTACCTTAATTTCCTAGATAGGATACTTGGAGGGATTTTGCCTTGGGAGCAACTGGGAGAAATCAAGATGAAGGAAAGCAAGCAGAGTATCTTTCTTCAGGTCTTTCCTTGTGAGGAAGAAGAGCTGTGGTTTGTTCAAGATGTTCTGTCATCTCTGTGCTGAAGTTTGCCTTGTGATGGTATTTCGTGACTTCAGGAATGACATTTTGTGTTTCTGATTAAGTCCTGCTATATCTTAAGCGTGAAATAGAAAACTTGTTGATAGTTTTGAAGTGACTAAAGTGTCTCCCTCTGTGTGTTAAATCCATGTAGTTAACAGCAGAATACAGATGGGGAGAGGCAATTGATTCTGGAGATTTGTGTTTGGTTTGGGATATATGGTTCTTTTTATATCAATAGTTTTGTACTATGCACGTAACAGCACAGAGTGGGTTTTAGAAGCAAAAAATAGATATGTGACAAGTGTTGCTGTATTAATTTGGATTTATTAATAGCCAGATTAAATAGGAAGCTGTACTGCTTTTCCTCTTTGAACCATCTCCTTTCTGTGTCTCTGCTTTGCCTTTTTTATTTTTAATATAGTTCATCTTGGTTTACTCCTTCTATGGAGAACTTTAGAATGATCTAAATGTACTAATTCCAAATTGCACATCACTTCCATTTAACGGAAACAAAAATAAAAGTGGATTTTTTTTTCAATTTTCTTTCCTTTTGTTTGTCATTTTTGTTTGTCAGAGGGAAGAAAGGACATGTTACTGAATCAGAAAAATATTATGGTTTCAAGTTCTTAGGGAAGGCAGTGGGAACTTTCAGATGGTGTAAAACCACATTGAATTAATAATTTGTTTACAGATTAGCAAATGCAGTAGTTCATTTTCGTGTTACTATTAATGGAACCAGGTGCGGTTCTTGACATGGAGATGCCGTACCACAAGCAGTGAATAAATAGCAATTGTTGCTGCAGGAAGAGGTGTGATGTAGTGCATACAGCTGCCTGTCCCAGCTCCAGCATTTGACTTCTGCCTCTGTTATTAACCTGCTAAGTAATATTAGGAAAGGTAATGAATTTCTTACTCCTCTTGTTGACTTAGATTGCAAGGCCTTTTGTGCATATATTGAGCCTCAGTCTTTGTCACTGTGCTTTGTTGTCCTGTGGAGTCCTTCATTTGCTATGGTATTACAGTTTTTCCTCTCAGAGTTTCCCATTAGCTCTCGGAAACTCACTGTATTGTGTGGAATCCTGAAGACACTTGAATATTTATTCTACAAGAAGAAAGCTAGTAATGTTTTCCAGAGCATGGTGTAATATTGCATCTGGTCTTGTGCAACTCAGGCTGATGCCAAAAGGGATACTTTAGCCAGTTCTTTCCCTCTCTTGCATCCATCCCAAGGTGAGTTCAAGGTAAGCAGCTGATTCAGAAAAAAAACCTCTAACTGCCAGTGAAGAAAAACTAAATCAGAAAACTATGCTGACCTGGCTTGTCCTGTGGATGAGAAATTACTAGATGCAACAAAAGGGACAAAGACACAATAAGCAGCTGGAAGTAGGTGGGGAGAGTGATGCTGTTTCTTTCAGCAACAGGTAATAAATATACCAGATGAGACACAGCATGGAAACCGAGGCTTATTAAGAGCTGCGTTTTACAACCATATTTTGAACTCAACAGAACAGTGTCTTGCAATGGTTGTGACAGCCCAGCTACAGCTCTGAGGATCCTAGATGTTCTTCGCTGGTAGTATTTTTTTCTAATACAACTTTTTAATTTTTTTTTTTTCCTGAAGTAACAGTTATCTTTGTTATCTGCATTACAGTTTCAAGGCATATTTCTGATGCGTAAGTATAACCTTTTATTTTAGTTTAGTTTAAACTAAAGTCACCTTAACCCTGCAAATTGTGTGACAGGAGCTGCTCTTGATGTGATAGTTTCTACAGACCTTATATTCATAATTTCCCCTTTAAACTCCGTCAAGAAACTTGATTCGTCCTTGAAAATTACTTATGTAATTGGAGTTGACTCTTTGAGGAGCATTTTTTTCTCACTGCCCTTTCTCTTAAAAATGTATACAAC